AAGATGCTGTAGAAAACCTTGCACTAGATCCTGGGTATATCCGCTCTCTCCAACAAGAAGGTGGAGGGATCACATTCTCTCAGGCTGTCTGTGAGAAGGCCTATCTCCACATGAAGCAGCGAGCACATGTCAATCTCAGAGACAATTTACAGAGGTCATATGGGATCAGAGAAGAGCATCGGATATCTCTAACCATGATGGAAGAGATTAAGAGCCAGTGGACCCAACAGGACCTCTACAGCGTTTCTGAGGATAGCCCTAGTGTTCCACTCCCATACTACATTGTCCCAACACAAGAGCTGCTTGGATTCCTCCGTGCCCAGATCAACAAATACTGTTTCTTGTTTGAGCATACCCGAGCCAACACCTTTGGAGTAGTTCCACTAGCTGCACAAGCAGTCATGATAGTAGCTCTAAGAGCACTTCGATTCTGCTATGGAAGCAACATACTAGCAGCAGAGTCACTGCTCTACAAAGATCGCTGGGAGAAGAATCAACAGCAGATTGTAGTAGTGGAAGGCTTTAGCATGCAACAGACAATTGAGCAGTGTGGACTAGGCTGGTTCCTGCCCAAGTTTAACTGGACTACACTGAGGATCAAACAACCCCATGAAGAGAACATGCTGAATGGCTGCCTGCTTATGCATACTGAGTACAAGAAGAGATGGCAAGCAGTAAAGGATCTTCAGAATGTCTATGTCCGTTTCAATCAAGCAGAGAGGTGGTTCCATCAGCACAACATTGGCAAAAACCCAGCACTACTTCGAAAGTGGCTAGAGTATCTATCAAGTGGCAAAATGTGGGTTAGGGTTAGGATTTTTTTCTTGAGTTTCCGCTGCTGGAGGATACAATAGAGCTTTCTGAGCACAACGCTATCCTCTACTAAGCTCTACATGCTGTGGTTGTGGTGCTATTACAGTTTGAAGTTTGGGTACCTGTGGTGGGCATCCTGATTTGGTAAGGTCAGTCTTCAAGGCGCGCTAACCCAAATAGTAGTTTTGGCTAAATCACCATCACCATCACTCTTTGCACCAACACACAGCTGCATCAAGGTAGGTTACACATAGACATAGCTGCAAGCAACCTGTATTACATCTTTGATATGTTTTTTGGCCATGCACAGGCAGATAA